TATTAATTGCAGCTACACCTGTTGGTGCCATTAGTAATACAGTTGGTAACTCAGGGTTAACAGGAGGATGTCTAAAAGTCTTAACTGCTGTATGATATATTGTTTTAATGACATGACTTTTTCCAGGACCACCACCTCCAGTCAAGAACAGATAGATTGGATCTATGTCAACTGGTTTGAGACTGTTTAAGTTCTTCATTGTGTTGCGACACCATGTGAGGAATGTATCATATGCAAGGCATTGTTGTTTGTTTAGTGATCTGATATTGTGACGTAATACATCATCGGAGATCTCTGTTGGTTGGTTGTAGGTTGTAATAGCTCCAGAAGGAGAGTCGTTACATTGTCCTGGATCAAGATGTGAAGGTAACTGTTCATTAAATGATTCGTCTGGGTTTAAATCATCAGGCATTTCATCTAGTAAATCTGCATTCTCCTGGTCATTAAGTGAGTCATATGATTGACCAATCTTGCCTTCATTAGATTTCATTGCCTTAAATGCTTCACTAATAGCATCTGCATCAAGTTCAAATATTGATCTATTGTGTTCGACAATGTTTTGGACATCTTCTTCATAAAATTTGGATGTGTACGTTTGATCAGAAGATAATAATTTATTTTCATCTCGCCATGGGTAATAAAGCACAAGCAGGTGATGGAAATATAACTCTGGCTGTTTCTTTTTGTTTGGTGTGTGATACCTCAACACAGCTTTGACTTTTCGACATTTCATGTACTCATTTTTGTTAAGCAATTGAATTGTTTTAGGAAGGTTCTGTATTGTATCACTGGTAGTACTTTGGCTTTCAATAACATCGTCTGTTAGGACATCTGGCTGGGCATCCTGTGTCTCACAGTCTATTTTGTAATCTTTATAGTAATATGCAGCAAATTCTGCAAGACACATGTTGTCAACAATAGGTATGGATGTTGGTCTAATCATGTAACGTTCAATAATATTTGATTTAAATACATCAGTGCTATCATCATCTAGTTCATCAAGCTCATCTTGACTCTTAGTTACTCGTACTCTTTGTTCTGGAATATTAGTATTAACAAAAATTGTTTTGGGGAATATTTTTCTGAAGTTCAGGCATTGCTCTGTAAACACATTCCTGTGAGCTCACTTCCCTTGTTGATAAAAAGGCTGCACCAACTTTTTTCAACCCATCTCTAATTGTCATGTTGCTAGCTTTAGCTTCTTTTGCTGCATTGACAATTGCTTGTGAACATTCGGTCTCATCTTTAGTAAAGTATGAACACACATATGTTATACATTTATAGTGGTTAAATACAGGTTGCAAGTCAACATTTGCTGCAAATGCTTTAATTCCAGCAACAAAATAATTATTAATAAAACAGCTATGCACAGATCTTTGGAGATGTAATTCAAAATCTGAGTCTGGGGAAATGGATAATGCCCAGTAATATTGATCTTCAGTGATATCTAAAGATTCTAAAATGTCTGTTTCAGTTAATGAGGGGTCATATTCTGGCTTGGATGGGTTAAGGATGTCATCTATTTTCTGTTTGACTGAGGTGAGAATTTTGCATTCGTCTTTCAAGTATGTTACTTCTGACTGCCTCATCTAATTAATCGCTGAGAGGTTCTGCTAGAATAGTTCTGTTTGTAAAAAACTGTCCAAAATTAAATCTGCAACTAACATTTTTGTATTTTCTGCACGTTTTTGAATGATTGTGCTTTTGATAGGTGTTAACTAACTCATACAACTCTGGTTCTGCATTTTTATCTGGAAGATTGCCAGGTACATGGTTGTCAATAAATTTTATGTAAGCATCCTTGTTATCAGAAGTTAGCTTAGGACAATCAGATGTCCATATCAATGCATGTAAATGTGGAGATCCTCTCATCTGAAATTCAATACAAAGTGCATAGTATATTATTTTACCTATTGGGTTACTTTGACGGAGTAAAACTTCAGGGAAAAATGTTTCCACTCTGTCTTGGAAATGTTTTGCAACAACAACAGGATTCAGATTAAGCATCGAACATCTTTCATTGTAAGATAGAGCTTCAACTTGCTCATCGGTCATGTTTTTACCTTGTGTTTTGGCTATAATCTGGAACAGCTCAGGCCATCTAAGATCTGCACATGACAATGTCATGAACCATGTTGGAATACCCAATTGTTTGACCATTGCTGCTACTTCGTACATGAATTTTTGCCAATATGGTGGTGTGCCTGGGATTTGTCTTAAGAACAAATATGCTTGGTCTTGACAAACCAAATTTTTTAATTTATTTACGTTCGATTTTATGTCTGATGCAGTCGCAGATTGTCCCTGTATTTTTTTCAAGGCTATGTTAATACTGTCAGACACTTTCTTTTGTTCTGTTATGGACTGTGCAAAAAAAAAGATGCTCTGGGTTTGTTGCAAATCTTCCGCTATAATGTAAAAGTCTAGCATTAAAATATTTTACTGGTGATAATGTAAAAGTCTAGCATTAAAATATTTTACTGGTGACAATTTAATCTTGCGTTCATGTGTAAAGCCAAATCGACCTTTTGGAAACAATGCTGGGAATGCAAGCTCTTCATAATTTTTATGCATCATTAGTGAAACAGGGTGCTTGTTTTCACCAGGTGCAATGTTGTATACTTCACTGCCTAATGAGCAATTACTGCTGTTTTGTGTTATTGTAATTGGATAATCTGGTAACACAGATTGCAAACAGGTCACACTAGGTGCTTGGCGATGCTCATTTAAGGTGGCTCGATACAGTTTTCAAAAATTCCATCATTCATCACTTTGACACGTTCAAACAACGAATTTTTGTGATTTATTCCAGAGATATTTGGGTTTTTATGTATTTTGATGACTCTACTTTTGAATCGTATTAGTTTTAGTAGCAGTTCGTTGCTATGGCGACATACGTGTACAAAATTCACTCCAAAATGACCAATTGCCTCGGATAGTTGGAAAAAAAGCACGGTGACCCCCAATTTTTTTTCGTCCATTATTTTACTTGGAAGAAAAACTAACAATTGGCAAAAACTAACAAATGCCAAATTTTTGAAAAATGTAAAAATGACATTTTTTTCAATAATTTTTTTTGCTATTATAGAATTTTTTTATATTTTGCTAATTGTTAGTTTTTCTTCCAAGTAAAATAATGGATGAAAAAAAATTGGGGGTCACCCTGCTTGTTTTCCAACTATGCGAGGCAACTGGCCATTTTGAAGTGAATTTTGTTCACGTATGTCGCTATAGCAACGGACGATTTGTTACTAAAACTAATACGATTCAAAAGTAGAAACATCAAAATATATAAAAACCCCAATATCTCTAGAATAAATCACAAAAATGCGTTGTTTGAACGTGTCAAAGTAATGAACAATGGAATTTTTGAAAACTGTATCGAGCCACCTTAACGGGTCATCCTGTTCTTCGTTGTCATCATCAACGTGTTGTTTTGTGGTACTGGATAAATAATTTTGATTTGCAAAATCATCACCATTCTGCAGCTTTTGAAAACTTGTGGAATTGGCACCAATACTTGTAATATCAATAGTGATATCATTATACAATGGATTGTGGACTTTTAGCCAGTTCAAGGCATTGAGGAGAAATTGAGGATGTACTGCTTGGAAATATACATGTCCTCTGAATTCAAGTTTTCTTTTCAGTTTTAACATAATAATACCTGATCTTTCTGAAGCACAAGGTAAAATCTTACAGGATTGATCACATTCAACAGGGACATTACAAATGGCTCTCTTAACTTTTTTATGCTGTCCTTTTGGCATCACTACAATTTTTTCAAAAACTAGTCTTTGTGCTTTGAGAATCTGCTCTAGTTTATCTAAACACAGCAACTCATTTGGTACCTCATTAACGTACATGTCATTACATACTGCTTGACATGGTGTTTTACCCCTTGAAATTTTTAAACGGCATGTCTTGCAAATGTATAGTTTGTTATCATATGATTTAATTTCAGTGAACAAATTTGCCACACCATTGTCATCATACATGTGCTTTTGTAATAAAACAACTGACTTTCTATACAGCAGTCTCTGGCAAACTGAACATACAAAAAATGAACCATCTTTAATTTTACTTTCAAATCTTGTTATACAGGCTTCTTGATCAGAGTGCATTGATTCACACTTAGCAACTTTCTTGGTTAGAAGATCAATTTTTTGGCAGTGGTTCATTGAACTATATTTCTTGGCATTTGATTCTAGAAGAGCTTGCTTTTTTAAAGGATCCATTGATTTATATGTTTTAGCTTTGGTATCAAGAAGTGTTTCCTTTTTTAAAGGATCCATGGACTTATACTTTTTAATTGATGTTCTCTGCAATTTCTCCAAATATAGTTTTTTTTCTGCAGGCTCCAAGTCAGCATAATCAGTTCTACGTTTTTCTAGTTGTCTTCTCTTATGTTCTGAGGACTTATGTTTCCTTACAATTTTTTGTTTCTCTAACGTCGACAAATTGTGTGAACACAGTAGAAATTGAAAATTACACAAAATATTATCACATTTTTCACATTTTATTAAAAAATCATAGATTTTATCAACTAGATAATTTAGGTTGTCACAATATTCATAACCAATTTTTTTCAGCAATACATTATATGCAATTAAACAATATTTTGTACCAGATTTGTTATGTTGAAAAATGCAAGCTAAACACCAGTCAGAAAACCACAACAAAAATCCAGTGTTGTTCGAAACATTTGTTAAAGTGCTCCTGGCAGAAAAATGAATTTTACATTTTTAGAATCTTTGTTAGCAGTGTATACTCTATTCGAAAACCGAATTGCAATTGCGACTTTAGTTTAGAAGTTATTGCCACTTAAACATAGCATTTGGAAAAAAAAAACACGCAAAAGGGATTGGTACAAAATCATTGATGTGACGTCACAATAGGAACCGGTTTGACTCATTCATATTACAAAAATCATTAGCGTGTATAATTCAGATGTCGTTGTAAGAAAGGTGGCGGCGCAAAAAAATCACGCAAATAAAAATATGCCGAATAGATGTATTGTCGGGGGTTGCTCTAATACTTCTAATGCGGAGAAAGGAATTTCTCTTCATTTCATACCGTTTTCTGGCGACGAAAGGCCAGAAGCCAAAAAGAGACGAAAGCAGTGGATTGATTTCGTGCGGTCAAAGCGGGCAAAATGGGATCCGACTCCCAATTCGAGTATTTGCTCAGCGCATTTTGACAGGAAAGATTTTACACAAATGTTTTCTGGTTTCTCTGGCAAAGTACCGCGGTTAGCCTCTGATGAAATTGGCGTAGTGGCAGTTCCTAAGTACCACACAGTAACTACAGAGACAGTGGTTAAACCCTCGTCAGCGAGAGCTAGGAGAATGGTAAGTTTGTACGTATTGTTAATTGTTAATTGTAAAGAATCATTTTTATGTTTGCTGTTTCTTAAACACAGTGCAATTTTCTTTTGTCGGCTATTTGAATACATACATACGATTATATGCCGCGTTGTATGCAAATATTTATCACATTGTAAAGGTTGTAAAAGAAGCGTTGTCTGGAAGTGTGACCGCCCAAGGCAAAGCGCCGGATGAAACTTGCCACGAAACAGACCCAGCTGAACACGCAATGGAAAATGTTGGAGAAGAACTGCCAGAAAACACTTCTCCGAACAAAGTACGTATAAAGGTTTAACAAACAAATATTTCGGTGTAACATTTGCGGGCACCAAACACCGATTGACAGTGACCGCATTGATTGAGTCTACATTTTTGTGTTTGGCTTCTTGCTTTAGACAAACAGCGTTTCAACTGGAACAGACGGTTGTGTTGGTTGTGCGTACTTGCTAAAAGAAAAGCGTAAGACTTGGAACAAGTATATTGCGCTTAAAAGCAAGTACGATGCACTGGTGAAAGTAAAACATTCCAAAGGTAGCGTGTTTTTATCTTTGGTACTGTACATATGTGCTGCAGGGAAAACCCATATGTTTCATACTGTGCGAAAACCCCTTTGTAAATAAGGATATAGGTTTTCCCTGCGCACTATACGTTTTAATGATCTATTCATCAAGTGCAAACGTTCCAATTTATGTAGGTGTTCAGTGTAATATACTAAATGTGGAAGAACTAAGCCGTGCTGAAATGCTCCTAACACTTCCAGAACCCGAACCGGGAAGTGAAGAGACAGGAGATGATATGGACACCAGCGACGAGGATTTCCAATGCGGAGATGAAAGCGAGTCTGACAAATCGGAATTAGGAGACGAAGACACAAGGTATATTTTAATTATTTTTAATACTCAATAGAGTTCACAGACTGAATATTTGGCTTGCAGGTCAGCTTAGTACAAAGTTGGAATATCCTGTGATTTTGCAATGGTCGTATATTGATATACCTATAAATCTTCTCACGTTTAGTAATCCCACTGAGAACCTACGCCAGCAACCTAAATACATCATATTCCTGTCACAGTTGCTGTTGCTATTTAAGTTTTGCCATTATTGCAAAGCAGATGACCCTCTCGTTGAAACTACGACGGATGGAACCCTGCTAATTGTGAGGACAACTTGTGCCAATCCCGTTTGTAGTCGAAAAAACAACATATGGAGAAGTCAACCACTGATGCCTACGACAAAACTGAACGCTTGCGATTTCCTGCTAAGTTTCGCTATTCTTGTATCTGGAGGATCACCCACTAAAGTGCTCAACATGTTTCGACACATGGGACTTGTTGGAATGTGCAATGAATCTTACTATAGACACCAAGGGGTATGTATATATATAACTGACTCAGGTCTTAGACCCAGAGCAAATTGAGGTGTAACTTCTACTATACCAGTTGTGATTTTTCTTTGAAGAAAATGTTGTTTCCAACAATCTTTCTTCACTGGGAAGATTACCGAAGAAAGATTCTGGATCGGTTACAAGCATTGGAATCTTTGGTTATTTCTGGTGATGGACGGCACGATAGCATGGGGCATAGTGCAAAATATGGTGCTTACACAATATTTTGTTGTACGTCAGCTGAAATAATTGATTTTAGTTTGATCCAGGTAATATCAATGAAAAGAACTCAAGTGCTCTTTTTTGCTCATATAATTGATTCGAGTTTTTTATAGAGAAATGAAGTTGGAAGCAGCCTTGCAATGGAATTTGAAGGGTTCCAAAGATGTTTGAACTTTCTCCTAGCTGAAGGCCTGGACATTTCCACCTTTGTCTCAGACAGACATCAAACAATAGCAAAACACATGAGGGAGAAACTACCAAAGATAAAACATTATTTTGACATATGGCACTTGAAAAAGAGTAAGTATCTATTATTTGCAGCAGTTTTGTTTATAAATACACATCATAATAAGTACACTGCACAATTGTTTTACTCAACCTATGTATTTTTCACTTCAAGAGCTGCATAAGGTCTTGACTAAGCTGGCTAAAGAGGCAGATTGTGAAGAACTGGCAGAATGGATACAACCCTGTATAAACCACCTTTACTGGAGTGCCACATCTACTTACTCAGGAAATGGCAGGATTATACTGGCTAAGTTCAAGTCTTTCCTTGGTCATATTGTTGACAAACATGATGGGTTTGATGACCCATTGTATGATAAATGTGTTCATGGTGAACTGACTCCAAGAAAGTGGATTCTACCTGGTATGCTTTGTAAAAATGGCTCTTCGCTCATACTGCCCAGATGTTATTAATGTGATACAATTTTTTTTCACAATAAACTATATATAGATTCTCCAGCCTACACAAAACTAAGTGGTGCTATGCTAAAGAAGTCCTTTGTTAAGGACCAAACTAGTTGTTTGGAAGGTTTCCACTCTGTTATCAATCAGTTCTCCCCAAAAATGAATGCTTATTCATTTTCTGGTATATACTGCAGGTTGGTTTTACTCTATTAGTAATAAACTAACAGCAACTGATTTGGTTAGCTAGCTTATTATTTTGATTAAAATTTCTACATCATTTAGACACATCCTGGCAGCAATCCATTTTAATGCTAACTTATGTCGTAAGGCAAAACTCCATGAAGATGGTACACCACAGGTCAAGGTGTCTTATCCAAAGTTTAAAGGTGGCGATGCCACTGTTAGGGAAAGCAAAGTAAAACAAAACTTTGGTAAGGAAGTTAAAAGAATGAATGGTGCAATGAGCATTAATGAAGTATGACTGATGTGTGTTATCGTATTGATAAATAAATCTTTGTCATTAGAATATGTGGAAGAGATATATCAGACTTTCCTAAAAGCATCTGGAAATGGCACCCTCAAGAAAGCTTCTGAAAAATTAAAAGAGATGACACCTGCCCCCATGAACACCATGTTTGAAAACAAGGAATTGAAAGAAATTGCCATCAAAAAGCAGAAGGCAAGAAAAAATCTTGTTGTGGAAGATGTTCCTCCAACAACACCAAGTATGTACAGTATAATATTTTTGGCCACAATCATAACTCATTAGTTAAGTTAAAATAGTAATAAATAACTTTTCTCAGTTTCAGTTGTTCTTGCTCAGGAAAAGGCACAAAGGCTGCTAAAGCAGCCTCTGGCAGAGCAGCTCCAAGGTGTTCCTTGTGCAAGAATTTGATGAAGGGACACAAAGAAGTGAAGGATTGTCCCAAAAATCAAAAGCAAACACAGCAGTAAAACCAAACCAGTTGTAAATAAATGTACATAGTTATCTGAAACCAATAAATGTACATAGTTATCTGAAATAATATATAATGTGGAGTATTATAACATATAACATTAATGATATAATTATATACACAAATTGTCAAGAGCTATCCTCTTCCTCTACAAATCCTACAAAGTGCTCATTGTCTGTAGGTGAAAAATGACGTCTTATTCGTTCATATGTGCATGCTGGTAAGGGATACTTTCTATTTCCCAGATGCCCAAAAACCAACCACACAAAACTTCTGTAGGCTGTGCTTCGATAGAATCTACAAATCATAGAGCATGTTTAAACATGTCAGTGTGTGATTGTGCATTTAAATTTCATGTGTATAATGTACTTACTTATCTTCTGTGCTTGTTTGACGGTATTGTTCTTTCTTCCTTGTGCGTAATTTGGTTGCCGTTAAACGAAGCGACCACTTGTCTAAGCACACACTGTTAAATCCAGGATGGTCGACAATGCAAGATGGAGGGTTTTCCCTTTCCAGCTCCTGCATGACAAGCTCGCTATTCAGCGCTTCTTCACACTCTTCGATTTCTACGCAACACTGACATTCTTTAGCATTGTGAAGGAGTTCAATCCGACAGTTGCCACACTTACACCTGAAATAAAATCTGTAGTTATCGTACCCTGTGCCATTACCTTAGCACCCTAACTGGGACTCTGGTCCTTCAGTGGATTTCTTCCCAGGTGTCCCCTAAGCATTCCTGAAGGTTTTTTCAGTCGAAACTTTGCGTGTGGACTCAGGGGGGAAGGGGGTGGGGACCAACTTATCCCGGGGGGGACCAAAAAAATTTTTTTTTCTATAGACCTCCAAAGTTAAAGTGCCTATGTCACTCATGGGATCTTTATGCATTTGAAAAAAACGTAAAAAGTTAGTTAATATATTAAAAACATTTTTGATTTAGTGCAATAATTTCGAAGATACAAGCCTCTAAACTACCTGCGGTTCCTGAGTCCCAACCTCCTGGGTTTAAACACGGCTATTCAATTTGAAACTGCCCATTGTTTACAGGAGCCTGGGACTCAGGAATTGCAGGTAGTTTAAAGGCTAGTATCTTCAAAATTATTGCACTAAATCAAAAACTTTCTTTAATATATTAACTAAGTTTTTACATTCTTTTCAAATGCATAAAGATTCCACAAGTGATATAGGCACTTTAAAAATCTGAAAAATGTTTTACCCAAACTTCCGGTAACTTTGTGGGCATGCGTAAGTGCGCGTGGTCTATCCCTGTGCCAATTTTTGAAATGATTCGTTTAAAAAAATGGCAGGAAATTCAAATTTGCCTCTATTTTTAAACACTTTTGAAACCCTCACCCCACCCATAACAGGGTTAGAGTTGAAATTGGGTGAAGCTTCCACATCTCCTTATGTGGACGGTTTTTGATTTGTTGTATCGACTTGAAACTTTGTGCCACAATACACAGAAGCCCTAGCTCTTGTGTATTCAAGGTTTGTGGAAAAATATTAATCCCCTAATATTTTACAGATTTTTAAAAAATCATACCTGAAATAATGCCACTTTACAAAAAAATCTGGAAAATATTCCCATTTTAACTAAATTGCCCCAAACTTTGTACGCATTTGTAAGAGGTTGTGGGCACTATATTTGCCAAGTTTCAATAGGTTTGCTTAAAAGGAAAAGGAAGAATCAAGGTCAGAAAAAATGTCATGAGTTGGTGAAAAACATCCCCCCTGAAAATCCACTCAAAGACCAACTAAAGTGACGTAGGATAATCAGGGCGTGGTCCTAAACACGTGACTACACCCAATTCCGGTCTCGAGCCTGTTAGACTGATATGTGTAATTAAACACATATCCACTAAAGGACGACAAAAATCCACTAAAGGACAAAAAAAATCCACTAAAGGACCATGTGTTGTTAAGATTTTATCTGTTTTCAACCAAAGTTGAGTGGGGTCATTAGGGCGTGGTCCTAAACACGTGACTATGCCCGGTTTCGAGTTTCTTATACTCATATATGTCATTAAATACATAATCCACTAAAGGACCAGAAAAATCCACTAAAGGACCAGACAAATCCACTAAAGGACCACCTCTATTACAGAGACTTAAAATTTTATCCATTTTTGACCAAAGTTGGGTGGGGTAATTAGGGCGTAGTCCTAAATACGTAACCATGCCCACTTCCGGTTTCGAGTTATACACACTGAGATATGTAAAAAACGCATATTTTCATAGTTAAAACCGTTTTCAGAAAAATTTCTTAGAATATAAAATGTTGCAAATCACATCAGAAAATACATATAAAAATTTCACGGAAATATATTAATTGCGAATATTTTAAACAACTTCAATCTCATGTGAGATGTAATGGTAAATACCTTGATAAAAAAGTCTGGAAAAGATTTTAATGTCAACGAAATACCGTCAAACTCGGGCCGGGTAACTAGGGTGTGGCCCTAAACATGTGACTATGCCCACTTCCAGTTTCGAGCTTCTTAGACTGATATATGTGGTTAAATACATATCCACTAAAGGACCAGAAAAATCCACTGAAGCGCCAGCAAATCCACTAAAGGACCAGGAAAATCCACAAAAGGACCACCTGTATTATAGAGATTATATTTTATCCAGATTTCATCCATTTTCAACCAAAGTCGGGTGGGATAATTAGGGTGTTGTCCTTAATATGTGACCACACCCACTTCCGGTTTCGAGTTATAGACACTGAGATATGTGAAAAAACGCATATTTTCATAGTTAAAAATTTTTTCAGAAAAATTTCTGAGAATATAAAATGTTGCAAATCACATCAGAAAACACATATAAAAATTTCACGCAAATATATTTAATCGCAAATATTTTGAAAAAATCCACTAAAGGACCATGTGTAGTTTGATATATGCAATTAACAAAATATAGCAGCTTAAATGACTTGAAACCGGAGGTGGGTGTATGCATAGGTTAAAGACCACTCCTTCAAGACCCCACCCAAATTTGTTTGTCAACGGATAAAATCATAAGTGTCTACTTGTAAAAAAACCGAGAAGCAGTTTTTCATTAAATTTTTAATAATTTTTTAATTAATTATTTACAATTTTTTACAACTATTTACAAAATAATAAAGGACAGCCGGAACTCAGATATGATATAGTCTCTTGTAATTTAGTCTCTTGTAATATAGTCTCTTGTAATTGTCTCTTTGAAATTTAAAATTTTGCTCCGCAGAAATAGCGCTTCAAGATCTGCTAGACATGGAAAGACTTGAGAAGAGGAGAGACGGATGTTCCACTAGGATAACTATGGTATGAAAATGTGAACTATAGTATGTATTTTTATTATTATTATGGTATATTTTATTATTATGTATTTATGGTATTTATCTCAGAAACTTCAGTATCTGCGAAAGTATCTTGATTGGGTGAAAAAATGCAAAAAGGAAAAAGAGGAGGAGGTGGAGCTTCAGTGAAGAAGAACCATCATCTTCATACACAGCAAGTACACCACGTGATTTAAGGAAACTAGAAAATAATAAGCATAGGAATATGGTGCAAACGACAAAGTGAAGAAGTTCCCTAAATACGAGGATGAGAATGCGGAGGAGAGGAGGAGATGCAGAGTGTGCTGGAATTACCCAATGAAGTGAAAGATTGGATGAAAGATGAAAATGCCTTGTACAAAATGGGACATCATGCTGAAGCTTTGAATAAATTTAGTAATTGACATGACCGTATGACCAAGAATCCGGACAATTCCACTGATACCTCCAGTTGTATTGATTCGCCTGGAATAAAATGGATATCATTAGATTTCTCGTGGTGAAAGGAACATTTTGATATGCCATACATAGGTTTACATAGCATATTTGTCTTTTGAAAATTTAAAACATGAGTGGTATTTTACTATGTCAATATGACAAAAATACAAAGATTTTCACTAATAACTCAAGTTCTATAAATTCCCCTGGAATGAATTGGATATAATTAGAATTCGCATGTTCAGAGGAACATCTTGATATGCCATACATTGCTGTACATAGCATATTTGTCTTTGGGAAATTTAAAATATTTTTGTTCCAATTCAGGAATAAAAATTGTACTTTAAGCGCGCAAAAACGCGCGTCTTTGACTAGATTATTTTGGATACACCAGAATGGTATCTTCCATTTAAAAAAACAAAATACCTTAATATTAAAGTGCTTATGAAACGAAATTTTTAACTTTGTAGTTTTTATTGCTTATAGTAGTTTTTGAGCGGCTGAACAAAATGCACTTATCTATTTTTACCTATGCTGAAGAGAAAATCCTTTTTTTCCCCCTCGAAAAATGTAATTCGGCACAAGAAGGCTTCCGAAGTCTTGCGCGGCCGGTGACGTCACTGGTTAGAGTCAGCTATTATAAAGATGGCATCTTCAACAAGTTCTCACGCGAGTTCCCAAAAAAAGCAAAAACAATTGGGCAAATATTGTGTTGCTGGCAGTCCTGGTAATGTGAGTTGTAACAATAACTCACAAACTATTGGAATATCCATGCATTTGTTTCCGAAGTCAAATGAAAAATTGCAAAATGCCTGGATAAAGTTTGTGCGAAGACATCGATCCGGCTGGCAACCATCACCATATCCTATGTTTGCTCAGCTCATTTTGAAGATCGCTACTTCACACAGCGTTTCGACATCAGTTTAGAAATAGGAAAAGAAGCACAAACAAAGAGGTGGCTTGACAGAAACGTTGCGTATCCAACAGTAGATACTGCGATACCAGTCGTTTCAACTACACCTGAAATTTCTGGCCGTGAACGCAGAAAGGTAAAAT